CAGCCCCCCCCCCCCCCCCCCCCAAGAAGTTTCACCCGCAAAGGCGGCCCCCTGATGCCAGCCGGGAATAACCTACCGCGTAGCTTCCTACCATCACACGAGGGCTAAAAGAGCTCGGTTTTCTTGATATTCAGCTGAAGGCCCAATTTTGGGTCAATCACCGTAATGATGTCCAACGCTTTGGCCACCTCCTCCGAATCTCCAATAAGTGTGCCATCATCAATGTACCATGCATGGAGAAGAAGCTTGCAATTGTCTCTAATATTATGCAAGAGCGGGTGCAACACAAATACAAAGAAAAGTGGCCCCAAAAGGTCTCCTTGCTGAACCCCAGTAGTGGACCAAATATGTTATTTTTCAAACGCTAGCCTCTTAAATACATTATTTCTCATCCCTTTCAATTTTGGTATAATTTGTTAAGATTTTAAATGCAACATGCTATGTATTTTTTTTATTTGTGATGTTAGCCTATTAAATGTCTTTGTAAATGACATTATCATTTTAATGTGGTAACTTTTGAATTTTGAATTTTTGATATTATATACTTAATTTGTCAATTTAAATATAACGTTAAAATGTAAAAAAAAAAAAATTCAAAATATAAATACACTTAAAAGAAAATCCAAACATTATTTTTTAAGTAGTTAAAAAAAATTAAATGCATTTCTAAATGTAAAACCGTAGTACCAAATTAACTAAAAAAGTTATTCAAAAACTTTTTTTTATAATCATGAAAATTTTCCAAAAAAATAGCTTTAAAAGTAATAGTAAAAGTTAAAAAAAATAATATTAAATTAAAAATTATTGTTATCTTAAAAACCAAAAACAATATTTGACATTTGAAATAATCATAATGATCAAAATTGAATAGTTGGATAAAAAGATTATTTTTAAATTAATTTAACATTGACAATAGTTTAAATAAAAACAAATCAAATATTATATTTAATTTTATTTATGTGCAAATGGAAAAAAACTAATCAAATATTATATTTAATTTTATTTATGTGCAAATGGCTAGTAGAAGTCATTGGATAATATGGTTTCAATATATGTCTATCTAAGATAATTAATGATATCAATAATTAAAAATAACTCTAATTTAAAAATTAAATTTAGTTTTTTTTTCAAATGTAATATATGTGTAGAGAGGATTGAGATTATATGATTTTAAGTCTTAACAGATGTCTATATTATCATATAGTTCAACAATATTACAATGTCTTATATCAAATTAATATAAAATTTAGACAAATTTCGTGGTTGGTCTTGTGGTTAGCCCTCCCTATGTAGGCCGAGATCAATCCCTCACAATCCTCATTTTACATTTTCTAAATTCCTTCATTTATCTCGAGGAAACTAGATCAAGCATCTTCAAACTTCTTACATTTCATCTCAAAGAAACAACTTCAAACGTCATACAATCAAAACATTCCCAGGAAAACCATTCTTAGAGTTGATCCTTAAAGATTATTGTAAGTTTTCTTATTTAATATAGTGTTTTTACAACACATTCATGTTAGTTCATCTCGTTCACACACATTATTATGTGTTAAAAACTCATAGGATACGACTACCTTCAAGTGTTCCAAACCTGAAGATT